TCTGGGATCTTTGAAAGTGACCCAAAGACATGAGTACGAGCAGAAGTTGGGCTCCAGGTCTTGTTTCCCCTTCTCTCCTGCAGCAACCTCCCTGGAAGGGCCCTGGGACACCCCAAAGTGGCCCTATGCCTCTGGGCTGCATCCCTGGGGACCAAGGGGCCGTGCATCTGCCACATTGCTTCCCAGCTGGAGTTTGTGGGTTTGTGGATCAGGGATCTCCAGGCAGCGGGAGCCTGGGGCCAGTTGGGTCGGTCTGGGGGTTTCAGGCTGCCAGGGCAGGCAGGGTACAGGCCCTGGCAGCTCCTGGCTGGGCTATCCTGATGCAATTTCCTGTTTGCAGAATATCAGCCTCCCCATGAGTGTCAGCATCTGCAGCTGGATGGACCCTTGGGTGCCTGCTTGGCTGTGGAACGGGACTCAGGGCACAGCCATGGGACACACTCCAGCCCTCCCCATGCATGGTCATGGCCAGCTGGTGACAGTCTTGACTGTGCTTTGGGGTTTTGGGCCCCGGGGTGCCTGGCCTGGGCAGGGAAGGGGCAGGGGTGGCTGATCACAGCACTGTGTCTGTGCTACTGCCTGGAGGTCACCGTGCCAGAGCATTGTGGTTGCACCCTGCTCACACCAGCGTGGGGATGTTGAGGCTCCCCCAAATCACCTGGTCTGGGGCAAAAGGGCTTCCACAAGGAGCTACAGACTGGAGGAGCACCAAATCATTACACATGAAAGCAGCTCTGGAGTGGGGGTGGGTTATATCCCCCCACCCCACCCCCCCCAAAAAAAAAAAAAAAAACAAAAGGAAAGAAAGGGCTCCCACTTTTTTTTGTCCCTTCCACCATGTGCTCCCCAACAGGGGAGACTGGAGGTACTGAGCTGCTCGCTGGGGCCAAACACCCTCGGATTTGCTGTTTCACAGGGGCTGCAAACCCCCCTCAGGGCTGAGGCTCTCACCAGAGCCAGAAGAGTTAATGCTCCCAAAATGCCATGAAATGTTCCTGCTGCAGGTCAGTCTCCATCGGGGATTAGGGGGATCTGGCCGGGGAGCCGAGGCCGGCTCCTGCCAGCTCTGGGCTGGTGCGAGACCTACTGGTTGAGCCCAAGCACAATGTGCCGGGATCTGGCGTGGCTCAGGAAACATCCTGGCTGTAAATCATTGGGGAGGAAGGGCTGGGAGCCCCGGGAGGCTGGGGGAGCCCCTCCAGGGGGGCTGGGTGGGCGCCCACCCCGCCAGGCGAGACACGGTCCTGTGCCGGCAGCCCGGCGCTCGTGGGATGCGGGCTGGAAAGAGGGCTGGGGCCGTGCCGCTGTCCCGCTGCCGGCACCCTGGGCACGGTGAGTGCCCAGAGATGCGCCGCGGGGTGCGGGACGCCCGGGCCAGCCGGGTCCCGGCCGCCCGCAGCGTGGCCTCCGTGGGCTCCGCGTACCTCCCGCGGGCCGCCCCGTCCGAGGGGACCGCAGGCTCCGGCTGTTTTCTCATTCTGCAGGAATTCGGCTCCGTGGGCCGGACGGGTTTTTGTGTGCGACCCCCCGCCGCCCCCCCGCTTTCCACTCTCCCTCTTTGGAGACTTTCTGCATTCTGCCTTTGATCTCCCCCCGTGTTTGCCCAGGGATCGCCGGGCTCGCCGGGGTTAGAGGCTGAGGTCAGCGCCTTTCCCATTCCAAACACCCAGAAACATCAGTGGGAAGGGAGGGGATTCAGATTACAACCTTCCCGTCCTCCCCTTCCACCCCACTCGCCCCGCTGGCCGTGCCGGGGATGGACTGAGCCCCGAGAGCCGCCCGCCACTGCCGCCGTGTCCCCGGCGCCCCGAGAGCCGAGCGGCGGCGATGGATGGAGGCGGCGGGCGGCATCGCCGGTGGTCCGGCGGGCGCCGGGTGTGCTGAAGGACAGAGGTTTGGTCCTCTCCTCCTACTCTTTGTCCCCCCGCCCGCCCGCCTTCTCCGTGATCCCGTCCGTCCTGAATGTGATTTCTCCCGAGCCCTCGCCAGTGAGCCAGGCCGCTGGTGCGGGGCGGCCCGATGGCTCCTCGCGGGACAGGCGGGCGCGGGGGCCGCGGCCAGCGTGCGGGGCGACAGCGGGTCCCCGCGGGCATCGCGCTGCTCCTGCCCGTGCTGGCGGCGGCGGCCGGGCTGAGCCTGCAGCCGGGCAGGATGCGGCACCTGGGCGTCTGCCCCAACCAGCTGAACCCCAACCTGTGGGTGGACGCCCAGAGCACCTGCGAGCGGGAGTGCCAGGCTGACCAGGTGAGCGAGGGGGCTGCGGGGGCGGCGGGCGGTAACAGGGTTTGGGGAGCATCCCCAGCACCCCGAAGGAGGTGATCTGGGGTGTGGGTCCTGTGCTGGGTGGCACAGCCGGTTCAGTTGTTTCAGAGCAACGAGCTCAGCCCTGCTGCAGCTTTGCCCCCTAAACCCCTCCGGTCTGCTGGGCTCTCCAGTCCCCCACAGGCAGAGAAACTGCTCGTTGCCTCCTCATGTCACCTCCTCAGACCGTGTCCCACGGTCAGAACACCCTCCTTGTGCACCCCCAGGATGCTTCCAGCGTGTCAAAAGGCTGGCTGGGATGAAGGGAATGGGTGTGCTGGGACACGGACCCCATCAGGCCGAGGACAGAATGGTCTCCCAACTTTTCCCTGAGGGCCCGAGCCCACCCACAGACCAGGCTGTCCATCCCAGAGAGCCCTGGCTCTGAGCTCCACTAGGCTGAGCAGAGGCAACCCCATCCCGGTTAGGGCTGTCCGAACCCCGAGGGGAGACTCCTTCACAATTCGTCTGTATGCGTTCTGTCTCTCCTTGGCCAGCAAAAGCTGAGAAGGGCAAGTTGCACTCTGCCGTGGGGAGAAGGGACCGTCACCACTGTGGTGCACCCCCAAACATCCTGGGGGTGCTGAGGGTGGGCTGGGGCCGGTGCAGATGTGCCGGGGAGGTCCGGCGCTTAGCCGGAGCCCAGCGATGCTGAAGGTGCACAGGGCTGTGCGGGAGACACCTGCCCGCCCGAAAGTCCCACAGAGGTGGGAACAGCACCCACAGCCCCAGCACAGCGGTGACCCCCACGTTCCCCCCGCAATCTCTTCTCCCTCCCCGACCAGGACTGTGAAGACTTTGAGAAGTGCTGCACCAACGTGTGTGGGCTGCGGAGCTGCGTGGCCGCGCGCTTTGCCGACGGCAGCGTTCCGGCGCTGGCGGTGGCGCCCGCCGCCTCCTGCGAGAGCTTCGTGTGCGCGCAGCAGGGCTCCGACTGCGACATCTGGGACGGGCAGCCCGTCTGCAAGTGCAAGGACCGCTGCGAGAAGGAGCCCAACTTCACCTGCGCCTCCGACGGCCTCACCTACTACAACAAGTGCTACATGGACGCCGAGGCGTGCCTGCGCGGCACCCGCCTCACCACCGTGCCCTGCAAGCACATCTTCACCTGGCCCGACACCAGCCCCGTGCCGCAGGAGACCACGGCGCGACCCACGCCGGGCGCCGGCCCCGAGGTGCCGGTGCCCCCCGCCCTCTACACCAACCCCTTCCACCAGTCCGTGCGCGCCGGCGGCACCGTCAGCTTCCGCTGCGACGTGAGCGGCCGCCCGCAGCCCGACATCACCTGGGAGAAGCAGAGCGAGCGGGAGGAGAACTTCATCATGCGGCCGGACCAGATGTACGGCAACGTGGTGGTCACCAACATCGGCCAGCTGGTCATCTACAACGCCCGCCACGAGGACGCCGGCATCTACACCTGCACGGCCCGGAACGCCGCCGGGCTGCTCCGCGCCGACTTCCCGCTGTCGGTGCTCAGGCGGGAGCCGGGGGGGACCCCGCGGACCGGCAGCCCCCAGCCCTTCCCCAGCGCCGAGTGCCTGAAGGAGCCGGACCGGCGGCGGTGCGAGGCCACGGAGGTGCGCTGGCATTTTGACGCCAAGCAGGGCTCCTGCCTGACCTTCCGCTACGGCGGCTGCGGGGCCAACAGGAACCACTTCGAGACGTACGAGGAGTGCCGAGCCGCCTGCCTGGGCAGCGCCCGCCCCACCTGCCTCCTGCCCATGGTGCAGGGGCCCTGCCAGAACTGGGAGCCGCGCTGGGCGTACAACCACCTGCTGAAGCAGTGCCACTCCTTCGTCTACGGCGGCTGCGAGGGCAACACCAATAACTTTGAGAGCAAGGAGACCTGCGAGGACGTGTGCCCCTTCCCCAAGAGCCTGCAGTGCAAGGCCTGCCGCCTGAAGAGCAAGATGGTGCTGAGCCTCTGCCGCAGCGACTTCGCCATCGTGGGGCGGCTCATGGAGATCGTGGAGGACCAGGACTCCGGCATAGCCCGCTTTGCTCTCGAGGACGTCCTCAAGGATGAGAAGATGGGCCTCAAGTTTTTCAACATCAAGTACCTGGAGGTGACCTTGACCGACATGGACTGGAGCTGCCCCTGCCCCAACATGACGGCGGAGGATGGGCCCCTGATCATCATGGGCGAGGTGCACGATGGAATGGCCACGCTGGACCCCAGCAGCTACGTCCGGGCGGCCAACGACAAACGGGTGAAGAAGATCTATGAGCTGATGGAGAAGAAAACCTGCGACCTCCTGAACCGCTTCCAGGACTAGGGGAGAGTGAGGATGTGCTGACTGGGGGGGAGCTGCAGACCCAGCACGGAGGGGGCAGCCCGAGGGAGCCCCTGCACCAGCGCTTGTGTCTAGAGGTTACCACTGTCATGTAGTTCCCCCAACCCCATGCTGAGCCCCAGACCAGCTCCCACCTCCACTGTAATTTATCTGCCGCATGTTCCCCCCACTGTGTGACCCCCCCCCAATTACTGTCCAGCAGCAATCGAGAACTGAGTTGGGTTGCAGAGGGGTGGGAGATCTGCTGGGACCACCCCACTCATAAAATCTTCCCACTTCACCAAAGCCTCTGGGCCCAGTGTAACACCCCGGGGTGCTGGACCTGGCCCTTTCATTGGTGCTGGAGGTGGAACTGGGGACACCCAACCCCAGTGTTTGTGCTGAAAACATCAGGGAGCTACTGGGGCATGGGGGGCAAAGCCACAGAGTTTATTGCGGAGGCAGCAACACAATCCTGGGGAGGGGGGCAGGGGGAACACCACCAGCACAAGATCCTCCAAGGAAATGGAGCAAGGAGTCTCCCCCATGCCCACGGGTGTTGTGTCCCCCCACCCCACACACACCTGTGTCCCCCACAGCAGCTGTGCTGGCTCTTGTGGTCCAGGCTGGGGCACCCCACTGCAAAGGGAGCTCCAAGGGCACTAGGGGAGATGGACCCCCCCTCCAGCCAAGTCAGCCCCAGCTGGGGTGAGTGGGGCTCTGTCCCATCACTGCTGTCCCCAGCCCCAGTGGCAGCCATGGTGGGACAGCGACACCGCAGGAGGCATCAGTGGGGACAGCAGCGCTGGGAGGCGCTGGAAGCGCCGCCAGGGCAGGTCACAGCTTGCGGAAGATCAGGCTCTTGTTGTTGGCCGGCATGTCCACCTGGAAGCACAGAGCGGGCTCGGGGGTGCACACCGCACGGGCAGCCCCCCAGCGCCCATCACCTACCATCCTCTCCAGGCACAGCCCGTTGGCCTCAGCCAGCTCCTGCAGCAGCGCCGTGTCCCGCAGCCCCCAGGCGGGATTCCTGCGGGGAGGGAGGCGCGGGTCACCCCGGGGACACCCCGCCCCAAACCAGCCCCATCAACCAGGGGCACCCCCGGCTGGGGGGCTGCCCTCAGGCGTGGCTTATCTTGAAGGACCACGCTGGGAGGGAGCTTCCTGCGGCTGCAGCGGGGGGACAGAGAGGACGGGATGGGCTCCCAGGAGCCTGAGCTCCCCAGCCCCCTCCTACCTCTGCCTCAGGCTGTGGTCGAAGTCCACGTTGCTCTGGGGGCTGATCCGGCCGTCCACGGCATAGGGCTGGTGGGACACAGCTGGAGCTGCAGGCAGGAGCCACCCTGTGCCTCCTCCTCCACCCCAGCTCCGGTTCCACGGACACTGCTGTGTCCCCACCAAGCACAGAAGCCAAGCGGGAAGAGACAGAGCCCCCAGGGAGTCCCGCCACGCACTGTGAGTCCTGTCACCCACTGCAGGCACCCCCAGACCCTGCTTTGGATGAGGTGAGGGAGGACAGGATCTGTCTCCTCCCAAACTGCTCTTTTCAGTTCTCAGAATGTGCCCGAAAAGGCAGAGACCCCCAGAAGCCAAGCCCCTGAGCTGCCCTCCCACCTGCCCCCCAGTATCCAGTCTGGCATCCTGCACCCCCAGGATGCTCCTGCACCAGGATAGGTGACCCACCCCATAGGTGAAGAGCACACCTCCGGGCTTCAGCAGCACCCCAGCACCCTTGAACAGGCCCTGGGGAACGAGAGGCGGGGACCGGGTCAGGGGGCTGGGAACGCCCTGGGAGCCCCCTCGGCCTGGCAGGGGAAGGGGCTGTCAGGGCTGCTCACCTCGGTGCACCGCAGCTCTGCGATGTGCATCATGTTGATGCTCACGATGAGGTCGAGGGAGGCGGGCCGGGTGCCCCCCCAGGTCTCCCAGCCCTGGGACACGTCCAGCAGGATGGGGGGCAGCAGGTTGGGCAGCCCTGCGGCCTCCACGTAGGCAGCGATGCTGTGGGCACCAAACCCCGCCTCAGGCCCAGCCGGGTGCCCCGTGCCCCCCAGCAGGTGCTGCAGGCAGGGACAAAGCCCTGCGTGGGCTCTCAGAAGTGGAGGAACACCCACAAAGGGACGTGGGTGCAGCACAGCCTGGGGCTCCTTGCCCAGCCCTTTGCTTGCAGCTGCCAGATGGAGAACTGGGAGTGCCTGGATAACCAGCAGCATGTGGACACAGAGGCCCCAGGGCCAAACCTCCCCAGTTTTGGAGCACCGTCCCCTTGTGGGGCACCCCACGGGCACCACTGCACCAGAACCTCCTGATTTTGGTGTTATTTATGTCCTTTTTGGCACATTCACCACCTAGGTCTCAGCTCCTGCAGCCTCCCAGCCTGGAGATTATTTTTACCCAGGGTGGTGGGTGCTGCTGGGTGGGCAGCACCAAACTCCTCCTGGACAGGGGCTGGTACCAGCACCTCCCCACCAGGCTAATAATTTTTCTGCGGTGGAAAACTGAATTTTGGGAGTTTTCTGGGAAAAATAAAGCTGGGGAGCTGGGAAGCATGAATTGTTTGGGAGTTGGATATTGGGGATTTATTGAAGAAAATATAGTGAGTATTGACCTGGGGAGCCTGGGCTGGGCAGGACTTGAATATTGTGGTCTGCCTGGAAAAAAATAAAGCATCAAGCCAGAGAGTCTGGACTGTCCAAGGGGGTATTTGCTGGGAAAAAATAAACATTAAGCTCATCTGAGAACAGGATATTGGGGTTTTCCTGGAAAGAATACAGCAGCAAGTGGGGGAGCCTGGGCTGCTTGAGAGTCGGTTATTGGGTTTTTCCTGAAAAAATAAAAGAATCGTGGAGCCTGGGCCCACTGCTGAGTAGGCCTTTACTGGGAAAAAATATGCATCCAGTTCATCCAAGAGCTGAATATCGGGGTTCTCCTGGAGGGAACAAAGCACTAAGCAGGAGAGCCCGGGCTGCAGGAGAGTCGGACGCTGGTGTTTTCCCAAAATCCCCGAAATAAAATAAATAAATAAATAAATGAAATGGGGAGCAGAGAGCGGGGGCCGCGGGTCCATGGTCCGTGGGAAGGGGTGCCGGTGGAGCCCCCGGGGTCCCCGTCCCCCCGGGACCCCCGGCCCCGCTCACCTGCGCAGCGCCCCGGGGTCGATGTCCGAGGGCTGCCAGCGCGCCTGCGGCAGCGCCCGGGCGAAGTGCGCGGCGTGGAGCCCCGCGCCCGCGCCCACCTCCAGCACCCGCAGCGCGCCCGCGCCGCTCCCCGCGCACTCCCGCAGCACCGCCAGGATCGGGCCCTTGTTGCGCTCCGCGGCCGCCGGGACCTGCATGGCCGGGCCGGCGGCGGAACTACAGCTCCCGGCCCGCCCCGCGCCGCGGGCGGAGCCCCCACGGCGGGGGAAGGAAAAAGAAAACTGCGCCGCCCGGGAATCGAACCCGGGTCGCAAGAATGGGAATCTTGCATGATACCACTACACCAGCGGCGCGGCCGGCAGCCGCCGCCTCCCGCCGCCCCTCGGAGCTACCGCCCCCGCGGGACCCCGGCCCGGCCGCCGCCGCTCCGCCGCCACGCAGCGGCACCCCCGAAAGGGACAAAGCGAGGCTTTGCGCGGGCACCCCAGGAAAACGGAGGCGAGGGGGGACCCCCACCCGCCCTTTCCCGCGACAGCAGTCACCGGTGATGGAGGTCCGGAGGGATCCACCTAGAGCACAAGGATTAGGGGTTCAGGCCTTCCAAGCGTGGAAAAGGTCAGGGGTGCGCCAACAGGCACTTAGAAACCCCGGGCAGGTCTGCGGGGAAACTGAGGCACAGCCGCCAGCACGTTACATGCCAGTAGCGACATCCCATGGGTCAGGGTTGTTTTTAGGCACAATAACAGGGCTGGGGGTGACAGCAGTGGATGCACACCCCCAAAGGGTCTGCCCCTGCCTGGCACCCACCAGGGTCAGGCGCTGCTGGGCTTTTATGGGAGGTACCCTCTTACACGCCTCCCCCGCTGGCCGCTACCGGGGCAACGTGGCGGAAAGGCGAAGGTCACCCTCGTGTTTATCACACGATCTCTCCCCAAAACTCTGGGTGTTGTCGACAGCCACAGGGGCGGCCGGTTGACACTGCGGGGTGGCCGGGGTCCAGCTCGGGGTCGTGTCCTGGGTCTGCACCTCCCGCCACGTGCGGACACCTTGGCGGGACGTCCCCGCTCCAAAGGTTACGGCGCTGGCCGGGACGCGGCTGCCCGCCCCGGCTCCCTGCGCTGGTCATGGGACGTGCAGCTCGGGACTGTTCACGGCGCTGTCCCCGTGGGGGTGGCACCTCAGCCCCTGCCTCTGCGCCCCTTCACTTTTCCCTGCCTGGGTCCTTTGTCCGGGGTCCAGGAATGACACCTGTCTGTCCCCTGTGTGTGCCGTGGCTCCAGTGTCCTGTCTCCTGCATGTCCCCGTGCCGGTCCCCCCCGAGTTTCCCGTGACTCCCGTGTCCTCTGCGCGTCTGTGCCATCTTGTGTCCCACGTGCCTGCTTGTGCCCTTTCCCCTACTTGAGCCCCGCACGGTCCAATGTCCCTTGTGTGCATTCTGTGCGTCCTGTGCGAGTCCCACATGTCCCCTCTGTGTCCCATGGAAGTCCCCATATGCGCCCTGCTTGTCTCCAGTGCATGTTCCTTCATCCTGCGTGTCCCCATTAATCCCCACGCGCGCCCCCGATGTGTCCCCGACGTGTCCCCACAACCCAGACACGTCCCTTACGCAGCACACATGTCGCGTGTGTCCCTGCACGCCTCCCGCGTGTCCCCACGGCCTGTCCCGCGCGTGTCCCCCGCGGCCCCGAGCGGCCGCGCGCTGTCGCCGCGTCCCACCGCTTCCCCCGCGTTCCCTTTAACTCAAGCGGGGGCGTGCCCGGAGGTTGGCTCGGCGAAGCCCGCTGACGCCCGGTGAGGGACACCTGAGGCACTCGGGCAGGGGCGGCAGGGCCGTGGGCCGGGGCCCGCAGGATGTACACGCTGACGCGCGGCCCCAGCAAGCTCGCCACGCAGCGCCGCACAGGTACCGGGGGGCGCGGGGCCGGGGCCGCGGGGGCTCGCTGCCACCCTCGCCGCCCCCTGACGCCCCGCGCTCCCCGCAGGTCCCACGCAGCAGGCGGTGGACAGCAGCAAACTGGGCGAGCTGCGGGGGCGGCCGCAGCCCGGCCCGTGGCCCCCCGCCAGGTGAGCCCCGCTTGACCTTGGGACGGGGACCGGCGCTGGGGCGGCCGCGCCGCTTGACCTTGGGAAGGGGAAGGGGAACGGGACGGCTGGGCCGCCTGGCAGGACGCGGGAGGGGACGCGGGCTCTCCGCTCGGTGCCGCTCGCCCCGGGGGTCTCAGCGCTGCTTGTGCCCGCACGCGTCCCGCGGAGCTCTGTGCACGCGTGCCGGGGCAGCCCCGCGTCCAGGACACACCGGAGCGCCGGTCCCCCTCCTTCCCACGGGCCGTACCCAAAAATCTCGGGGAGTGGGCCCAGGGGGTCACGCCAAGGAGGCGGCGCGGCGGGGTCCCGGTGCGGGGCAGAGGCGGGGCCGCTGGCGCAACCCCCACCCGCCGCCGGCCCCGATTGCACAAACCGGGCGGCGGGGCCAGCGCCGGGCCCGCCCGCTTGGCCGCGCCGCGCACCCACGGGGGCCGCGGAGCCCACGCGGAGCTGGCGATCCCCTCTGCCCCAAAAGCAAGGGCGACACTTGCTGGGTGAATTTGTGTCCCGCAGCAATACCTGGAGCTGCTGGCTGGGTGCTGTGGGGTATTCCAGTGGCTGGGGGGTGGTGATGGGACCCCTAAGGAGACTCTTTCCAAACTTGAGGGCTGGAGTCACAGCACACCCAGACAGGATAGTGGGACCCCGCTGTTTCTGCACCTCCTCTCCAGCTCCAAGAAGTGGATGGATGAGCCTCCCCCGCCAGTCCCTCTGCTTTCCAGGATCTCTGGAATTCACTGGAGTGGCTTCTGCCATGCTTGCCCTCCTCCTGTCTGCCCAGTGCCCCTGGATGTGGGGGCTACAATGTCACTGCCCTCCCCAGCCCCTGCCTGCAGATCTGCAGGAGCTGCCTGCTCCCAGTCTCTCCTGCCCTCCAAACCCACTCCTAGGGCCTCTTAGACTTTGTCCCATGAGGAACGTGGCTGTTGCAGACGTGTCCTGCCCTGGAGCTGGGCAGAAAAGCCAAAATACTGGAGTTTTGCACTGAACATGCTCCCAAGTCTCATCCCAAGTTTTTCCTTTAGCTCTGGTGGGGGTTGCTGCATCCAGGCAGGGAGTGGTTGAAGTGCCCCTCAGCAGAGGGCATCCCAGCTCTGAGGAAGCCTGACCTGCTCGTACTTTTCAGAATGTAACATCCCAGTCCTGGGGCGCCTTGTGTGCCCCATGCTGGGGCCAGAGCTGTTCCAGTGAACCTGAGTGCTTGATCTGCAGAAGATGGCACATCCCCTGTCCAGTACCTGACTGGATTTCACTTCCATTTCCTCATGTTCCTGCAATTTTAGTGGCAGATTCTTTATCTTAGGGACTGCACTTGGTGCTAGATGGAAGGATGGGTGGGAGATGGGCAGCTGGTGCTTTTCCCCAGGGAGCTCCCCTTGCACCCCTCCTATGTCAGAATCCCCTGCCCCTGGGGGCTGGGTCCCTTTCCATCCCAGTCCTTGAGGACAAGGCTGGGTGACCACAGCTGTGGGTGAGTGTGTGCACCGTGGGGGAGCCCAGGACACCTGAACCACCCCAGTTCTTGCTGGGGTGCGCAGAGCTGCCTGTGCCCTCATCCCCCTTTGCTTCCCTCCTCCACAGTCCAGTGCAGAAACTCGTCTTCAACAGAGTGAACGGCAAGAGACCCCCCCTGCTGCTGCAGCAGATCTCAGCCCCTGAAGAATGCTACACCCTGGCCCACGAGGAGAATGTCCGCTTTGTCTATGAAGGTGAGGGCAGAGGGTCCCTGGGGCAGCACCCAGGGGAGCTGGAGCAGATGGAGTCCCTCCATGCTGGGGACATCGGTGGCAGGCATGGAGTCCCTGGCCTGGGGGCTTGCCCTCCTTTGCTCCACCTCCTGCTCCTGTCCCACAGCCCCCCACACTGGGGACCCCCATCCCAAACCCATGCAGCGCTTGTTCCCCTCCCCAGCCTGGCAGCAGGTAGAGCAGCAGCTGGACGGCAGCCGGAGCGGGGAGAGCACCTGCGGCCCCGTGCAGTATGTGGAGAAAACCCCCAACCCCGGACTCAAAAGTAAGTGGGCAGTGGTTGTGGCACTTTGGGGTGCATCAGGCTCGGGGTGCAGTGAGTGGCTGTGGGCTCAGTCTGCATCTGAACAGAGCTGTGGTGGAAGGACAAGGAGGATTCCAGTGCTAGACGTGCCAGAGGGGCTGGTTGGGTCTCTCCTGCTGGTGCTGAGGTCACTCTGGGGGTGCTGGGGGGAGACAGCTGGCCCCAGGCACTGTGGTGGGGATGTTGCACTGCGTCCCTTGGATGTTCCACTCTGTTGCTGACTCCTCTGGCATTCAGGCCTTCTCCTGCCACCAAGGGGCTCAGGATCATGCTGGAGAGAAAGGAGGCACCTGTGGAACCCACTTCTCCTGGGGCCAGCAGGAACAATTGGGCATGGGGACAACACTTGTCTGGTGGCACCCGGAGTCAGCAGCCTGCAGGTTCTTGCAGCAGCTGAGAACTCCCCAAGGAAGAGTACACCCAGTCTGGCCTTTTGGGGACATGGCACAGAGGTGGAGGAGGCTTGGGGGTGTCATTAGATTGGATATCAGGGAAAGGTTCTTCCCCCAGAGGGTGCTGGGCACTGAACAGGCACCCCAGGGAATGGGCACAGCCCCAAGGCTGCCAGAGCTCCAGGAGTGTTTAGACAAAGATGTCAGGCCCAGTGTGGGATTGTTGGGGTGTCTGTGCATGGCCAGGAGCTGGACTGGAGGATCCCTGTGTCCCTTCCAGCTCAGGAAATTCTGTGATTCTGTGGTCATTTTTTCTGGGGTTTGGAAGAGGGCACCCAGAGCTCTGCTCCTGCTCCAGCTATTCCCCTCTCTCCCTCCCTTCTTTTTCAGACTTTGTTCCCATCGACCTGGAGGAGTGGTGGGCACAGCAATTTCTGGCCAAAATCGAGAACGGCTCATAAAAGGGAAGAAAAGGTTGCGTTTGGTTTCTTTAGAAGAGAAACAAAGCTGCGAGCAGCTGGTGACAGCCCAGCATCAGTGGTGTTCTTGAACCACGTTTTTAAAAGATGCCCAAAGTGGAGTGAGCCAGCCCAGAGGGACCGGACCACAGCCATGCCCGGCCACGCGCCCTCCCCGTGCCCCGCAGAGGAGCAGCGTGCAGCCCCAGCCAGGATTCCTTAAGTGCCAGTTCTCGGACTGCTGCAGCTCCTGCAGCCTCCAGCTCCAGGGACACTGC